GCAATCATTCTAGGTATTCGGGTGTAAGGTGTGTGAGTCTCTCCTACAGCCCATCCCCTTTAGCTCTATAGACTCTATAGAGGGGTGTAGCCCAAAGGTAAAAGAGAGCATTGGCGTTGACCCCTTCCGAGGCGCGTCAACCCACGGCTAACAAAAAAAAAAAAGGATGGTTCTCCCTGTGCCGGATGAATCTTTGTACTTGTCCCTAAGCAGTGAATTTCTAGCTCTGCTGACTCCACAGAGCCGTAGGTATTTTGTCATTGTCAAGTACCAGCCCCATTCCTTCTCATGCACGCCCAGAATCTGCAAAGCTGCCTACCAACACTCGTTCCATGCCTGAGCTGTTGGTTCATTAATCCACACGGCCACCCACTTCAAGGGCTTGAGATGTCCATCACTTTGAAAAATCCCATGGGCCGTGGAGTCCCAGCCAGTCTCCTGGCACCCCAACTCAGATGACATACGTGGTTTGTTCCCACCATTGCATTCTGTCGCAAATGTTCCTGACGGGAAGGCATATTTACCCACCCTACCTACATCTCCCTACACCCCTCCCTCCTCAAATATACTTTGACACCTGCTAAAGCTCGAGGACCAACAACATACAGACCATGGTTCTTCGGTGGGACTGTATCCTCGTCACTCACATCATGGGTCCATGCTGGAGGCATCAAGTCACCTCGAACATTAAATCACACTTGGTCAAAGTCGCTCACATATGTCCAATATTTTGATAAAAAGCCCATCGATGCCTGCTGTCTCCTCTCCTAGAATTCCGAAATCATACTCTTTCTCAGCAGGACATTACCGAATCAGCATCTCTACACCACCACCCTCTTCTTCATACCCTACCAAGCTAAAAGCATCCTCGGCTACCAATCGAGAAGCACAATACCTCCGACACAATTTCTCTTTTTTTCAGGTACCGGCGAACCAATGCCAGCTTTCTAACACTCATATCTGACTCGCTTCAAAAGATATCAACATACTGCTGTATCTTAGATCAACTAGCCTGTCATTGACCGGCTTTCCATACCAATCAGACTATCTAAAGCCTCCAGTATCCGAAATGTGCTGGTACAATGTTACTTACACATACACTGTATGCAAACATACCTTCCAAAGAAGGGAATCCAAGTCTTTATGTCATGGCGAACCACACAGTGAGGAGCCAGCGTCCAAGGACTGGATAGGCGCATGTCCCTCTTGTTCCTAAAGCCTAGGGCTTGCGAGAAGAAGCAGATCACCAAATGCAAAGAGTCACTTGGCTACCACGAGCCGGGGAACTGGCCCTACGGTAACATGCCTAAGAGCCCGATCGGCCTCCTTGCTCGCATCCAGGCCCAATCCATAGATGGGCCCCTAAGAACACCGCACTCCTTTTTTCTTCGTTTCTTCTCCCAACTGTTGGTGCACGGGACGGTGTTGCTGGCTGAATTCATAGATGGTCGTTCTATTAAGGGGACATAAACCTTTGGCTACCGGCTCGCAAGAGCAGCGCCCTTTTCTCTCTTTTTCTTTTGTTAGTCGTCATTTCTCGGGATCTTACATGTTCGATTCCTGTGGCATCTCTGGAGTTTTCAAGGTTTCTTGCACCACAAGCTACTCCTGATTGCCTGCTCTTCTCATGTTCACTTTTTTCATATTTCCCTTTTCGTTCAGCCCCTGTCCGGTCCATTGATCTGATCAGGGTTCCAGATATGGGGTCCTAAAAAGATGATTCGGGCTACACTTTACATGGTAGGCCGTCTATATTCAGTAATGTGCCCTACAAAGAGAGGCTTGCATGTATATAAGGCTATATCATTCAATCAAATTATTCTTATTTTCAATGTGCCACTGTTTCCTTCTCAACTCACATCGCTGCCTATATCGAGAATCACATGCCACTGGCGCCTTAAAACTGCCTCGAAAAAGAGAAGGCAAAGCCAGGACCCAGAAAGGGGGGTTTATGATGTAATATACCTATCCGATGACATCCAACCTGCATGAGAATAAGATGTCTGCCCTTCGGCCCGGCCGCACGTTTGGCGTGCAGAGTGCCCCAAAGGTCAAATGCCCTTTTACCAGTTTCCAACACATTCGTCTCCAGATATGACGAATCCTCCGTAAACTGACACACAACTGTCAGATCGCCATGGGCCAGGATCTTGGATGTTCTCATAAGCTGCGCGGGAATGCTCAGCCCTACGAGGCGTAGGCCGGCCAGCCAACTACCGGTTGCTAAAGATGCTTGTCTTGTTAAATTAGGGGCCGTTGCTCGGCGAGGCCAGATCGATTCACCAACGTCGCCGAGTGACGCATCCGATGCAGACGCAACGGCCCGCGATCATCGCCAACACCTTGGCGGCCTAACTTGATACCCGGCGACGCCGCGCCCGAGTACATCGACAAGAGGCAAACCAGGCTGCCAACGCACCAGCTTCCTCGTCTCCACCTCACCGTTCACGCTCACGGTGAGGCTACCAAATCCCAGCACGTGGGATTTGGGGTCCGCTGGAGCGGTTCTTGCTCCTCCATGTTGGCTCTGACCCCTTGTCGGTCGGTATGACTGCATACGCCACGTCCTACGTTAAACTGCGTGGCACACGGGGTGCGGCATGGCCACGGCCAAAGCCGCAAGCGAGACCGGAAACTTAGAATGGAAGACTCGAGAAGCCTGCGGGCACCAACCTCGTGGGCCGCCAAGAGCCCGTGTTCTCCATTTTAGCAATTCCTGCCTGCTAGGACCCTTGGCCCGCATTGCGCTATGTCCTGCACAACATGCATCGCGGGGATGTCATGTGACTCTGTTGATATCGGGATGGGTGTCGACGAATGAACGGTGGTCAGCATGGGCATCTAATCCGAAAATCGACATCATCGAGTACGACTCGAGTGGTGTAATGCTGCAACAGTCCGTCACTATACCCACTGTCCGTAGCGTAGAAGCAGAGGATGGATTGGCTGAGGTCAAACGTGATGAGGCCGGAGATGAGATGGAACGCCAAATGGCCGGCCGCCTCACCGTGGATTCGCTGCCTGGAAACCCGCCACGGGTCGCCTTAGATCCCGCTGTGGCGTGGCAGCGTGCCACTAGACCGAGCAACCCCACGGAGGCAATAGCGGGAGTTGGGGTACAGTAGCCACTGCCTAAATTACCTATACAACTGGTAGATGAGCCGCTATGTGGAACACTGAGCCGCCAGACTCCGTGTCCGGGCCGCAAGACCAGAGGCTTGTTTGGCTTGACCACCAGGCTTCCTCCTTCGCTATCCGGAGCCCGTCCTTCTGATTGCTTACCCAACCATATATAAATTCAATGACCCGTCGGAGGGACAGAACTTCGGGACTTACGAGACGCAGATTCCATGCTGTAGCAGCAGAATAATACACATGCATCCCACACATTGCGATGCCGCGACTGCCAAGGACAGCTTGGAATGCACCCAGCCTTGTCAGACTAGACCCTGCCCATCTGCCTCCAATCAGAAACGAGGTCGGTTCCAAAAAGGAGAGATAGCCATGCTATCATCGAGCAAACCCTACGCTGCAGAAATGTAAGATGGGGACACCGACCTGAGCATTGACACACCTGAGGCACCGGAGGGAGGCCTTTTCTCACTTATATTCACTCCGCTCACGCCCTCAAGCCAACACTCTTCGCCACATGGTCAAGCAGGCATGGAACGAATTTACGAATACGCACCCTGCCCACAGACGTACGGGAAGCTTATAATAGGTACCCACAAACGTATCCGCCCGCCCGCCATCGATCGTTCTGAACCAGCCCGGCCAGCCAGTCAACCTAGCCATCGGGTGTACCTTCCCAGTCCAACCCTTACCCCCCCCCCCCCCGAAGCTCGTGAGTAGATGCAAGATCGACAAGACCACACGAACTTCCGGTACAGTCTCGTGAGTTCGATCCAGGAAGCGAGAGACGCCAGTGGACTAGTCCTAGCCGTCAAGGCTGCCTGATCCACCACCCATGAGGCAGAGCCGCATCAAACACGAGGAGCCCGTCGCCTTGCCGCCTAATCTGCTCAAAGGCCCCAAGCGAGTGACTTCTGCGATTCACGATGGTACAATCGAGCCTCTTGACTTTGGGGCGTGTTTTCACATGGAAGCATCCGTGGGCTGGACTTGCACTAACAATTGTGTATGGTATTACTCTATGCCTGACGCCTTGCGCCTAATGCTACCCCTCCGTATTTGATGGCTTCTTTTTTGCTCACCCGCCGCACGTTGAAAGATAAGAGGGGAGGGGGGGGGAGTGGTTCAGACAGTAAGAAAGGAGGACATGCATTGCCAATATTGTAATGGCAAAACGTCACATCCTCGTTGCGATCTGGGCGTTTTACGAACACGAAACATCTCACCAAGGAGCATCAACGGCGGCGACATCTTTGGGCACAAGATTTCATGTGTCTGCAAATAAGCCAATTCCATTGCGAGTCTCCAGCGAAAGTTTGCATGCTCTCCCTAACCTCCTGATTCGTCCCCTGTCACAAGATCAAATTTGTGGTTCCAATCTGAAGCTTCCATGTGCAACGTTCTGCTTTCTCGTTGATCCAAGGGGAGGTCAAATGTCCCCAGCCCCCTTAAAATCACTCCTTTCTTGCTTTATCAGCTATTATACATGTCAGCTATTACAATACTACTTGGGCTTCCACACCCAAATGCCTCCTTTTCTCCACTTCCATGTCAAGGTTTAAAAAAAATAAGAAAAAAATCAGAACGGCCCTCGCTGTGGGACAATCAACTCGCAATTTGGCCTCCATGCCCAAATCTTTCCGATGTTTTGTCGTGTCTTTTTTTTATGTTTGTAGTTTTAAGACGACCCTCCAGCTTTTCGTTGAAATTCGTATGTACCAAGTTTTCTCATCTTCAGTTCTATAAGTATAAAGGTCCAGTCTCGAACTGTGGCGGAACAGCTGGAAATGCAAAAAGAAAAATAGTAGAATAAAAGGATGAAACAGATGACAGCCTGCGCCAACTGAAGGAAATTCGCCTCAGTCAGATCAGTCGTTCTTTGGGGAGCTTGGGGAGCTAGAAGGTCGGTTAGTCATCAACTGTAGCAGAGAAGACGAATTCGTAACTCACTATTGGTTCCCTGAAGTCCCCGGCCCCGGGGTGTTAGGGGAGAACGCGGGGGACTGAGGAGAGTATGTCGGGCTAGTAGGAGATTGGTGTGAGCCAGGAGTGGTGGAAAATCTCGGGCTTGTGGGTGAATAGTTGGGCGATGTGGGTGAGAAGGATGGAGACGCCGGTGAGTATGATGGCGATGTGGCATGCATGGCCGGAGAGGTTGGGCTGTACGAAGGACTCGTTGGCGAGTAGCTGGGCGACGTCGGGGATAAGTTGGCTGGAGATGTCGGCGAGTAGTGGACCTGGTTTGGGGAGGTGGGTGAGTAACTTGGTGACGACGGACTGTACCCCGGGCTCGTTGGCCGCATGGCTGGAGACGACGGCGAGAAGGAAGGCGAAGACGGGCTGAACGAAGGCGAGGTGGCAAAGCCAGCGCCCTGGATAAGAGGCGAGGTAGGCGAGTAACCAGGAGACACAGCATTGTAGCCTCCGGTGAAAGGAGAAGTCGGGGATGTGGTGAACGGGCTTGTTGGGCCTCCGATGAAGGGGCTTCGGGCGCTGGAATCGTTGCCGAAACCACCACCATATTCAGTGTCAAACCCTGAGCTGGCGTCAGATCCAGCTCCCTGGATGGGCGAGAAATTTCCAGCCGCCGGCGAGGCAAGGCTGTGGTAGCCCGAGTCTGCCATGGGGGATCCCGTGTCGTAGGGCGTAGCCGCTCCCTCAATTTCTCCTTCCTTGACTGGCATTCCAGGCATAAGACCCATGCGAGAGTTATCGGAGATGACAGTCTCAAGCATCTTGGGGTCCAGGAATGTGTCAAAGTTACCAGTACCCATGGGTGCCATCTGACCCAGCATGACGTTTTCAGAAATACCGCGACAGTCATCAAGCTCGCCAGTAGCAGCTGCCTCCAGAAGAATTTCTACAGTCTCTTCGAAAGAGCAACGCATCAGAGCACCAGTATCAGCTCTGTTGATACCGTGTCGAGTGACAGCTGAGATAGTGCCTCTGTATGTCATAATATCAACCAGCAGTGCCATATGCCGGTGGTTGACATACGAACCATCGAAGGCCAAGACGTTAACCAACTCCCTCAAAAGTTGAGAACGGGTTGCTTCAATGCCGAGCACATCAATAATCTGCCAAAGATCGTTACAAGCCGTCCTTGTAGCGTCGACACCAGGGATAGCGAGCACCTCTCGTAGTGTCGTACCCTCAGTATCGAGATACCACTCAGTGCATCGAGGATCATCCTTGAGGGCGATCTGGGCACCGTCAGGCGTAGTTGAGAGGACAGTCTTCATGGTAAGGAAAGCCTTCACAACACCCGGCACACCGCGAAGAGTCAAGGTATCAAGCAAGTGGGCTTCTAGGCGCTTGAGAACCACATCTTCCTCAATCATCTTCTCGCCATCTTCATCCTTGTTATCGTCCTTTCGAATAGGTCTCACGCGGATGACCTGCTCGTCGGCGTTGTTGTCACTGAAGATGATGGCCAAATCACCCTCGTATTCCTCCTTAATGCGCTGGGCGATGTCTTCAACCGTGATACGCTTGTCCAGCATCTTCTGTCGATCCAGGCACAGACGAAGCAACCATCTCGATTGCTGGTCTGCGGTAGCGTGACTCTCATCGGGAATCATCCAGTAAGCTTCGACCAGATCATAATCCTCGTCGATTGTGGTCTCGTGCAGATTAGGATCATAGTGAATCTCAGTGTATGCGACGACTGAGCGCAGATTCGCGTACTCGACCTTACTTCTCAAGTCTTGGGCTTGCTCCTTGGTGGCCAGTGGCCTATCGAGGTAGACCTGCATGGCAGGGGTCTTGATGTTGCTAGCGAGATTCAGAATCTCCTTGAGACGAGGTACACCCAGCGTAACATTCTTGGAAGACACACCAGCAAAATGGAAGGTGTTCAGCGTCATCTGAGTGGCAGGCTCTCCAATGGACTGGGCAGCGAGGACACCAACCATCTCACCGGGTGAAACAAACGCGCGATCCCATCTGCTTTGGAGCTCGCCAATGATATGATCAAAGGCAAGCTTGTTCAGCCGGTGAGTCTTGATCAATTCCTTGAACGCGAGGCGCGATCGGATGAGAGCCTTGAAGAGAATTGTCGCGTTCGAGTCAGCTTCCTTGGAAATTGGATCTTCGCCTCGAACGATGACAATCTTGTTCAACAGGTTCTGTACCGCAGTGATTGTTTCCACAGGGCGCAGATTGCTTCGATCAGTAGCCTTGACGTTGAAAACACGTTTAGCAGACTCAATAATGCGGTTGATGTTCAGAGGAAGCTGCATCATATCTTCATCCTTCTTATGCCGGTTGATGATTCGGACAAGCCGACGGTCCTCGAGTATAGCCTCCCACTCAGCATCCAGAAGATCCATGGATTCCTTGTCTCCTGTTAACTCATTACCATACTCGTATTCCTTTCGGAACCATGCAGGTGGATTTGCAAGATCAAGGCGGTACTTTTCCGCGATCTTGGGATCTGAAGGGTTGAGGGTTGTCATCTTCTGTGCTTCGATGATCATGGCATCGAGACCATCTTCGCCGTACAGGAACTGAACGATATCACCTAGCGAGTTACGAACAGTTCCGTCATAGCGGGCGCTCAGATCTTCAAGAGCCTTGACGAGACGACGTTGAATATAACCAGTCTCAGCAGTCTTGACTGCAGTATCAATAAGACCTTCTCTACCAGCCATGGCGTGGAAGAAGAATTCAGATGGGGTCAGACCACGAAGGTATGAGTTTTCAACAAATCCACGAGCTTCAGGAGAATAATCATCCTTGGTGAAGTGCGGCAATGTGCGGTAGTTAAAACCGAAGGGAATACGCTTACCCTCCACCATCTGCTGTCCCACCAAGGCGGACATTTGAGAGATGTTGATGGATGATCCCTTTGAACCAGAACTGGCCATGGTAACCGCATTGTTGGAGTCCTTAAGACTGTTTTGGGTGGTCGTACCAGCCCGATCACGAGCTCTGTTGAGAGCAACACCAACATGATGTTCGAAGGTGGCACGGACGCTCATACCGGGCTCAGCTTCAAGCGTATTGTTCGTAGCCTTCTCGGTGATCTCGTCGACCAACTTCTTTTCGCGATTGATGTCCATCTGAATCTTCTCGATAGTCGCCTTATCCGGAATTGTGTCTCCAATACCGATACTGTGACCATTGTGTAAGAGCCAATATGTCACGACCTGCTGGACACCGTTCAAGAACGCCATGGCCGCCCTAGGGCCCAGCTCGTTGTAACAGATGTGAATAATACCGCCAGACTGAGCTCCAACGAACTTCTTCTTCATCAGCCCATACATGAGCTCACCTCCCTGGATCAGCACACTGTCATCTTTCAACAGTGAAGCGTAGCTATCAGAGCCGGCATTGATATTCACCTCGGGGGGGATAACGAGACTCATCATCTGTTTTCCAGTCCACCGGGGGCGAGGCTTGAAGATAGCGGGTTGAGGAATGACACCATCCCAGCCAGGGACCCAGAGCATCAGATTCATCACTTCCTCTTTGGTGAGGAAGACATCACGGCGACAGAGCTTGTAAGCACCAGCCAATGAGTCCTGCACGATACCCATCAACGGTGAATTCTTCTGTGGTGACACGATGTTCAGGGGGACTAGACAAAGCTCCCTGACCTCAGCTCGGGTTTCCTCGCTCTGGGGGACGTGAAGATTCATCTCGTCACCATCGAAATCGGCGTTGTAAGGCGATGTCACAGAGAGGTTCAGACGGAATGTAGAGTATGGCATAACACGGACTTGATGACCCATCATTGACTCCTTGTGCAGCGAGGGCTGACGATTGAAGATGATGTAGTCGCCGTCCATCAGATGACGTTCAACCTTCCAACCGTATTCCAAAGAGATCTGACCGGCACGGCGGTGGTGTCTCAAGTCAATGCGTGTTCCATCTGATCTAATAACGTACTTGGCACCAGGGTGCTCAGTAGGTCCGTTCTCGACAAGCTGGTGCAACTTGCTGATGTTATATGGGGTGACGGTCTCGGGGTATGTCAGAGTTCGAGCAATGCTGCGAGGAACACCAACTTCATGCAGTGACAGGTTGGCATCACCAGTGATGACAGTACGTGCTGAAAAATCGACACGCTTACCCATCAAGTTACCTCTAAGACGGCCCTCCTTTCCTTTTAGACGGGCGCGAATAGCCTTCACAGGACGTCCACTCTTCTGCAGAGCCCGAGGCTGACCAGCAATATCATTATCCATGTAGGTAGCTACATGGTACTGAAGCAGCTCCTCGAAGTCCCTGGCAATGTGTGCAGGTGAACCTTCACGGATAGCCTGCTTGACGTTGCCGTTGGCTCGAATAATATCACCAAGCTTGTATGTCAGATCATCCTCATTTCGCATGCCAGTACCCGTGCCGTCCATGGAGATACTAGGACGGACGGGAGGAGGAGGGACTGGGAGGACTGTCAGGATCATCCACTCTGGGCGGGCATAGTCGGAGTTAAGACCCATGTTGCGAAGATCCTGTTCGCAAATGCGACGGAGGATATTGTGAGCAAGCTCAGGTGTAATCGGCTGTGTCTCCTTCTTCTTGGGCCCGTCTTCCGTGGCGACCTCGAAGGCAGCCTTCAGCTGAAGTGCTGCCTGGCGGACCTGGGGTTGGACGTTGCCACAGCCGCCGTGGCTTTCTACCTTGGGTTTCATCCCCGGTGCAAACTCCTCGTCCTTGTTCTGGCGCTCCTCGTTCTCGCACCTTCGCTTCTTCTTGCACACCGTCCAAACTCGCTGGAAGCGAACTTTGGGGTCGCGTGTCCGAATAGCGGCGACAAACTCGGGATCGCTCTGCAACATTGTCATTAGCATCTAAAGATCATTCAAATGTCTGAAAAGATTAGGTGAGACCAACTTCATCAGCCAAAACTTTACTACAGTTGTGGCAGACAATCTCCAAAATCTTCTTGACTTTCTTGATGAAACCTGGGTGGTACACAGGTTTGGCGAGCTCGATGTGTCCAAAGTGGCCGGGACATTCACCCATCGCCTGAGTGCAGGTCTTGCACTTGAACTGACGATCGATCGAACCAAGAAGAGGGTCATTAAGACCGCCATCACGCGGCTTGACCTTGTTCTCCTCCATGGTCTCTGGGTACAGAATGTGCGCAACACTCATATTCTTGATCTCCTCGGGGGACATCAAGCCGAACTGAATCTCCTCCACAGTCTTGAGCGGCGCGCTCGAGTGGGTGAAGTAGAGGTTCGCCATATTTGCGGTGTCGAAGTCGGCCGGGGGTATGAAAATTCAACGTAAGCGACCGTGATTATGCAGGAACAAGGAGAAAGTCGCGACTCGACAACGACGCGAAACCGGGCGAAAGATGATTAAAAAAACGATACGAAGTGAGTCCGTGTGCTGTAAATCGCAGAGGTCGGTTTAGTCGATGAATGAAATCGAGAACGAAAAGTTCTGGATGGCGCTCAATGCAGGCGCCTGTCCTGGCCAACGGCCCAGGAGAACCTCAGGCTGGGCTCCCCCGTCGCCACCTCCTTGCAAGTCGCCAAGGTGAAGAGAAAAATCGGGCGGTCGCGATTCTGGTCGCTCTCGAATAGATTTCGCGATGTTGCGCACGCTGAGAGACGTGCGCGGTGATGGTCGTGTATGGAAGCAAAGTTTTGACGTGGTGAGAAAGGGTCTGGAGGAACCATGAAGAATCTGGGCTTAAGGCTGCTGGCCACACGATGGCGAGGACGCTAAACTACATGTGGAACACGCGCCACCTTGTTCGTGAGGTTGCGGCCTGAGAAATAAGGCGGCAGGCTGGGTTTAATTGGTCAGTGTTTCAGATCTTTGCTTCTTACTAATTCAGTTGGCCCAAAATAAAGCTGCGCCATGCCTTAGTTTCGAGCTTTGTGACCTCCTAGCCCAGCGCCTTGTCCGAGTGACTCAAGCTACAAAGAGCATCTGAAACTTGCTCCTCTGCGATTGGCGACTGAGGGTCTCATGCAGCTCGTCATTGTCTTCCAACGAAACTAGGGGAGGCGACCTTTCTTGGCAATCGGCCAAATGATGCTTTGTTGTTGTCTATTTCTTTTTGCTACGCCCTCCCTTGCTAGTTACCTTCTTCACAGGTACCCGCTCATATCCATCATCATCTCCCTGACCTTCCCCAGGACTCCTACGCCGCATGGTTCCGGTCGAAACTGCGATAAATTCATCCTCACTGTCGCTTTCTCCAAGATTAAATAACACCGGCATCCGAAAGCTATTCTCCCAGCCCATGGCCTTGGGCTGATCAAGTGTCAAGACGTCCACATCCTCGTCCTCCGCATCAAGTCGCCGTCTGTGAATTTCCTCCTGCGCATAAATGTCGAACTCGTCTTCTCGTTCAATGTACTCAACGTTTTCTTCCACTTCTGCGAAGTCAGGCGCCAGTGCAGACCATTTCTGAGGACTGACAACGGACCAAATGTATATTCTTCCCGTCTCCAAGCCGCATGCCGCCAACAGAGCGCGCGAAGGGTGCCATTCTATAACTCCTTGCTCCTCCTTGGGATCTTTGAGCATACACACCAAACTGCCGTGATTTCGTTCCCACACGTAGAGCTCGTGGTTATTGTATGTAGAGGCAGCAACGTATTCGCCGGTTGCGCTGAAGGTGACATGGTTCCATGAGAGCTTATTGACAACGTCTTGGAATTTGTGCTCGAGGGGAACCTGCAGTGTATCCAAGTCCAGATCTTCAACGGAAAGATCTGGCAGTCGAAATGTTCGTATGATTCGGTCCTGGGAGTTGACCAAAAGATCTCTGCCTGATGCCGTAAGCCGCATTGTGGTGATGACTCCGGAGCAGATCTTCTCTGTGTAAATGACTTCGCATGTCCTTGCATCAATGATGTTTAGTTTGCCCTTGTTGGTCCCTGCAAGTATGTGGTCCCCGGTAGTCGTCCAAATGGCCGAAGTTGTCATCTGTCTCGCGTCCTCCTTCGCTTGCTTCTCCTTAAGAGCTGCGTCTCCATTTGTGTTCGTCCGTTTCGGGGCAGAAGGTAGTATGTGTTTGACATCAACAGGTTCGGACACGTCGACCAGCATCGGCTGCTCCTCAAAGAGTGCGGTGACAAATCTAAGGCTAGTTCAATTTAGCATTTCTGACATCACAAGAACGGTAGAGGGGAGGACCAACTGGTTCCAGGGGTGGATCTCAGCGATGTAGGCGGGAGCACGAAATCGAACCTCACGAAGCCGACTTCCATCTTGCAAATCCCATAGGATAGCTTTCCACCCTTGGCAGGTTGACAGTAAGTATCTGCCACACCGCGACCAGCTCAAGAAAGTGATGCTCTTGTTATGACCACGCAACTTCCTCGCGACCCCCATCGTCTCAAGATCCCACACGACAACTGTGCCATCGACTCGTCCAGAAGCTAGATAGTCCCCTTTTCGATCGAACCGCAGCATAGTCGCATGCCCTGAACGGATGGTGTTGGTGATATTCTCAGGGTAGTCCTGGAGAAGGTAGTCGTCGGACAGTAGCATATTCATCGTGGCGACGACGGAGAGCCTCCGTATATGGTACACTGATAATCGTAGAAGGGGCAGCTCACATTGCTGTCGGGGGCGCTCGAGACCACCCTGCTGTGGTAGAGTTGCGACGACGGAACAAGTCTACAGCCGTGTCTGTACTAACTCTTGCCAGAGCTAGCTGCAAGGCTGAGAGGTTTGGGGACCTGGCTCCACAAATAAATGGAGAGAAGCCTCTGAGCTCCGTTAACAAATTGCGCCTGCCGACAAAAATGCCACCGTAAAAATATGTGGATACCCACAGCAAGTACCGCCCGCCTAGCAAATGCGAAGTACCTTACACTTGCGACTGCCCTGGACAAGGGCCCCACTGGAGAAGAGTACCACCAGCAATTCACAAGCCTGAGTGCGACTAACAATCACCCATCACCCATCACAGCATCTCGGGGCAGGACCGCAAAACCACACTCAGCATGGCAAATTCCAAGTGAGAAGTCGCATTTTATGTTCCGAAATATCGCATCAATCAATCTAACTCTCTCCACAGATTTGAATATGTCCGCGCCTTCGAGCAACCAGACTACCTGCTCCCAAACACATGGATTGTGGTCAGAGTAGATGGTCGGGCGTTTACCAAGTTAAGAAATAATGAGATCACTCTAAGGCGCATTGCAGCAAATTCTAACACATGGTAGAATGTGTGCAAAGTACAACTTTGAAAAGCCCAACGACCGCCGGGCGCTAGATCTCATGAACGCCGCGGCCAAGGCTGTAGTGACTGATCTTTCCGACATCACCGTTGCCTACGGTGTAAGCGACGAGTACAGGTAATGAGGCCAAAGTCTTCCCCGGGCCATTGGAGTCGCAGGAGTTGAAACTTTCTTTGCAGCTTCATAATTCACAAGTCGTCCGGGCTATTTGAACGAAGAGCGAGGTAAGGCGGTCTTACATCTTACATGCTAGCTAAGTGCGACCCAGTTCTAACGAGCAAACGCAGCAAACTCGTCAGCACCATTGTCTCAACATTCACTGCAAACTACGTCCACCTGTGGCCAAAATACCTGCCTGAAACGCCCCTCTCGTTTCCACTACCCACTTTCGACGGACGCGCAGTTTGCTACCCAACCGTGTCGAACCTGCGTGACTACCTGAGCTGGCGTCAGGCGGATTGTAAGCAAACATTGTGAAAGCCAGCCAGAATCACTACTTATATTACTTCCAAGGCCACATCAACAATCTTTACAACACAACTTTCTGGGCTCTAATCCAACAAGGAGGGCTTGACAACAAGGAGGCTGAGAAAGCCCTAGCCGTGAGTATTAGTTCCGTTTGTATAGACGCGCTCCTCTAACCGTCCTCAGGGGACATTGGCTGCGGACAAGAACGAGATCTTATTCTCTCGCTTTAAAATCAACTACAACAATGAGCCAGAGATGTTCAAGAAAGGCAGTGTTGTGTTTCGAGATGTGAGTCTCCTAAGCCCCTTTGGCCAAACTTCAACCACTCACATTCATAAATCCAAATAGTACGAGTTGGTTGAACCTGACAGCCATACGATCACCGAAACTATGGACTCGCTTGCAGAGCCTATCAAGCAATCCAAGACGCAAACAGAAAATGATAAAAAGCGTCGAGCAAAGGCATGTATCGTTGTAGACCACTTGGACATTATCAAGAATGATTTCTGGGACAGGCGACCATGGCTACTATCGAACAAGCCTGGGAAAATCCCCAAAGAAACTTAGAGTCAAAAAATGAAAATCTTGACATCCTGGGTATCTAATGTGTACATGTTCTACATGTTTCTGGTCCCTCTTTTACCCAAACTCCCATGAAATGCAACCAACAAGATCCTAATCCAAGACACGCTTCGCCATATGCTATAGGTTTGACATCCGCTCATGCAGCGATTATTTTGCTCCCATCCCTTCTATTCCTTTGACCTCTTTCTCCTCTTTTCTTCTTTCCGTTCTCGCCGCCGCCGCTTCTCCTCGGACAGGGAATCTTCTGAACTTGAGCCCTTTTGGCCTTTCGCCCTGGCCTCCCTTCGCTCGCGACGGGCAGCCCTCCGCAATGCGCGCGCTTCCTTCCGCTGCCTCTTCGCCTCCTTCCGTGCGCGTCGCTCCTCCTTCGTCTCCTTGTCGTCCTTTTTCGAGGCCTTCTTGTCCTTGGCCTTTTCCGAATCTTTGCTGTCGCTGCTCGAGTCCGAAGTCGTAGACTCTTGGGCAGACAGCAGATCAACGGTGCCCTCGAGAAACCCGCCCCTGACGAAGGAAGAGTAGACGGACCACTTCCCCATCGACCCCTGCTCGATGATGTTCAGCTTGCCGGTCGTCACGGTCTGCTTCACCGTTTTGCCATTCGACTCCAGCCCCTTCAATTGCTCGTCAAAGGCGTTCAGCCACCATTGGTCGTTGTTGAAGTGCTGCGCGACACCCAGGCCCTTCGTATTGTCCTTTCGGTTCAGCAGGAGAGGCTTCGCGAGGCCGATCGAGTCGTCGTGCTTGTGCAGGGAGTGGCCGTGGCCCCGCCACCCTTGGCGGGAGAGGAGAGCATGAGCGTTCATGATAGACGGCGCAGATATTTCCGGTGTATAAATCTCTTAATTGTGTTTTCTTTCGTCGACATAGGAACCGAGTTCTTAAAAGCTGCTTGAAATGAACTGCGCAGAGCCCAAGAGGATTCAACTGGATGAGGTGGTTGGCTGGGAAAGAAATACGCTGCGACATCGTCGGCCAGGTTAATTT